CTGAGCCCGCTATAGAAGTAGAAAAGAACCTCACAATCAGTCAAATTGCCCTGAGGGCAAGCTCTCCTCAGCACCTTGAATCTCTTCCATGCTTCAACCAATGTCTCCAGAGAACCCTGCTTGAACTCTTGTAATTGCTTCTTCAACTTCAGGGTCTTTGACGTAGGGAAATACTCCTTTATGAAGGCACTATGAAGCTGATCCCAAGTCTGGAGGTGGTGGTGAGGATTACTGTCCAACCACCTCTGCGCATCATCCCTCAATGAAAAAGGGAAAAGCATCATTCTCACCTGATCATCAGTAAGCCCAGGTATTTTGAAAGTTTGGCACATCCTCAGGAAACAGGTAATATGTGCCACTGGGTCTTCTGTAGCGCCTCCTCCAAAATGATTATTGGACACCATGCTTATCACCGCCGACTTGATTTCGTAACGGTTGGCAGTAATTCCCTGCACCTGAATGCTATCATACTCTGAAACGTTTGGTGTAAGGAACTCTGCAATGGTCTGGCGCTGATAGAGTGGATTATTGTGCGGTACATATGGATTGGGTGGAGGCATTTGATGTCTAGGCTGGGGGGCTGGTTGTGGTTGAGTAGGTGAGACTTGGGTTTGGTTTTGAAACTGATTGGGGTATGGATTTTGGTACTGGGTCTGATTTTGGAATGTAGGTTGATTGATTGGAAGTGAGTTATGTCTTGGTTGGAAAACGGGAATACTTTGCCCTGCTCCTTGCATCCCATAAACTTGGTTTTGAAAATTGGTTTCAGGAGCAGTAGGGGTATTTTGAAAAAGGTGAAATAATGGGAGGAGATTAAAGTGTGGGGGAGCGAATTGTGGTGAAGGCTGATTTTGGGAAAAGATCGGAGTGCGGTAATTTTGAAAACCTAGAGGGTTTCTAGGTGAAATTGGTGGTGAAGATTGGGGTGATGTGTTATGATAGAAATCTGGCTGAGAAGTAGGGTTAGGATTACTAGATGACCCTATGTTTCCAGATGAAGATAGATGGTCCATGGTAATTTTCTCTTTGTGAGTCTTGCGGTTCTGTCTGGCGAGCTTTTCAATCTCTAGATTAAGAGGGATTAATGGTTCTCCCCTCTTGGAGCGTGTATGCATAAACAGATCTGACATGCAAGGTTAGCAGACAAAAATTCCTACAAAAACTAAAAAAACGAATCGCTGAGTAAAATTAACCCTTAAGACCGACACTGTCCCCGGCAACGGCGCCAAAAACTGATGTGAGTTTTCTCGCACTTAAAAAGATTGTAGAATAGCGGTGAAAGTACGAGTATCGTCTCCACAGGGACGGTAAAAGGGGAATTACGGACTAAATAAAATCAGCGATAAAGAAAAGAAATAAAATAAATGCAGTCGTGCGAGATTAGGTTGATTGAGAAAACTAAAATTGCAAATAAACGACTAAAAGTAAATATTTGGGTTCTTCTTAATTAACGACGAAGGGAACAGGGATTGATTCCGGGGTAATCAGATTTCTGGCAGATCAGACTTAATTACATGAATTTAATTTAATTGAGCCTAGCTAATCAGTACTAAGTTCTTACCGCTCTCGCGGCGTAGAGTACAATAATTTAGGGGACTGGGCTGATCTCTCATGCGACATGATCCTAAATTATTGCCAAAGCGAACGAGCTTACGGCCCCTTAATCGCTAATTCGCTACTAATCTCTTAGCGAACGATTAAGTGTGTGTGAATGTGTCCTAGAATAAATTAGATCTCTCTTAATTCATCCTACATGCGATTGTAATTCTAGTGGCCATCTAGGTTACAAAATATAACAATTAAATTACTCAAACACAAATTAAACGACATTCATGCAATTTACACCATCAAGAACCTAATCATACATCGTGATTAACCCCTTCATCAATCCCAAATCCCTAATTAAAACTACTCCCGACTCATAATTGAAGAATCAATAGAATTCGGAAGAATAGAAATAATTGTCATTAATTAAAAAGTAGGAACTTACAAAGAATCTCAAAAAATAGAAAAAACCAGGGCTAAAAGCTCTCAAATTCGTCCCAACAGCTAAATAAGTTCCATCCCCTCTTAATTAGGGTTATGGGGGTGGTATTTAAAGGAAACAAGGTAATTTGGGCTGAATTAGGATAAAACGAGGTCAGGTACGGCGCCAGGCATGACCGTGCCTGCGACATTGCCTGCGGAATAAACCCGTTTAAACGCGTCCAGGCACGATCGTGTCTGGCCTCCAGTAGCTTGTTCCTCGTTTCACTTCAGGCACGGCGTGCCTGACTGCCAGGCACGACCGTGCCTGACCTCCAGTAGCTTGCCCGCTTCATTCCAAGGCACGCACGGCGTGCCTAACGCCGGGCACGACCGTGTGTGACCTTATTCTTCACTTTCTCTTCGTTTTCTTGTTCCAAACGCTCCCGGATGTATACGAGGTCAATCAATTATTCGTTCTTCGTCAAAATTTCGTCATGAATCTCCCGAACACGCATCAAATGCGTGTCTAAATACAGACTTATCACGAACTGATCGGAAAATGGAGGTACTTGATCCGACCGAATAATCAATGTACAATTCTTAGGATTGCGATAGATTAAGCATCAAGCCTCCCTTTCCACAAGTTAGAAGGTGATATTTATAGCAAGAGATAAAAGGCAATACTTGGTGCCCAAGCAAAAAGATGTTAGTCTAATAGGAGAGGGACACGTGCTGAGAGGATTCGTCCATTTGTTTCCGCTTTTGAGGTAGTCATCTGCCTGGCGCTTGCCTCCTGTTGACCATGTGTTTGACTTCCGGGGTCAGACCCGATACCGAGCTCGGGTGACTCAAGGTCGGGCTCATATCTTGTCGAGTTCGGTTGATTCTTGAGCATGTTGTTTCCCCGACCTCGAGGTCGGGGTCGGGCAGCTCCTTGGTCCTTAGTTATTTTGTTGTCTGGCGCTTGTTCCTGATCCTGGTTGGTCGGGCGGTCGGGGTCGGCATGTTTGTGGACTTGGTCTTTCTACGCACTCTGATGTGGCTCCGTGATGCCCTTCTATCGGCGACTATGATACCCCTGGGGTATATGGGAATGTAAGGAATAAATGTATTTAGATTTTGATGATGCTAGGTTAATTAGAATTTTAAAGTACCCCATTAGCAATTTTGTATTAGAATTTTTCCATTGTAAGTATTAACATAGTCGACTGGCCAGAGACCCTCCTTGTCTTTCTGATCAGAGTTGCTCTCAGAGTTGCTCATCAGAGAAGCTACCGGAGTTGGGTACCAGATTTGGCATCAGAGGCAGTCATCAGATCTTGAACCAGAGAAGCCTCATTAGACTTGCTCTTACTTAGCAGAATTCGAAGGCACATTCCAACGGCCGTGAAATTAACGGGAAATACCCTAACGACTAGGAGCCATTCGACGGAAGCATGGTACTGTACACGCATTAAATGCTCAATTAATGCAGTACGTACGAAGATATATTTAAAGCTGATGATTGACCATGCGGATATCCTTTACCCCCAAAATAGCAAGTCGAAGGTCCAACCAGTCAAATTAACAGTACAAGCATTTAATGAAGCTGTCTTCTACACTCCGAGGGGAAGACTGCTCCCAGTATATAAGATACACTTCGAAGGATTGGAAAAACAAAGATTCAACAACTCTACTACGAGAAAATATTCAAACGCTCTAAGACTTCAACCTCTATTCATCATGAGCAAGACACAAAACGTTGGAAAAGATTTAAACTTCATATCAATTCTTTCCAACGTAAAAGAATCATTCCTTCAGTTCTTCAACACTTCGAAAGCCTCAACTACACATCCTTTGTGAAGAAGCTACGTTGGAGAAACCTGATTTTAAATCACACACTTCTTGAAAAAAGAAGGGACGTCTCAAACTAACTAGAGTAAGTGGAGTGGGGATACTTCCAAGAGACTTAGTGAAACGAGACCAGCCATCAGGAAGCAAGGACTGCATCCCGGGTGGCAACTAGACTTGAAGAAGACGAGGAGTGCTTCTTAAGTGCTAAGACTAAGGCGTTGTAAACTATCGTTTTTACAAGCTTAGTGGAACAGTGGACTAGAGGAACACATTGTTCCTTGAACCACTATAAAAACCCCGGTGTCATTTACTTTACGCATTTATTTCTGCACTTATGACTTTAACTGTTTAACTCAAAAGGTTGGACTCGGTCTTCAGCAGATCTTACTTAAGAGTTATCAGAAAGGCATTTGCCTTGGTGTTTTCTTGAGGCTACCCGGACAGAACTCAATTCGCTGTCAGGTCAAGTTCTGCCATCAGAATTCAACCTTCTCTGTCACCAGAACCAGACCTTCTCTAGTAAGTCAGAGTTGACTCAGAGAAAAGTTTGAAAATCCTAAACAATCTATTCACCCCCCTCTAGACTGTTCCCATTGTAAACGGGACCAACATGGAATATACTCCATCACACCCTTTCCAACAAACACCAAACCGCCAGTGTTCCACCCGGATCAAACATAAGTGGTGTATCATTCGTCCCAAACATCAACCAAGCCAACACTGCCAAAGCAAGCATATGGCTATTAGCCCTCCCAACCCTATCCACCACAGGTTCATGACCACCTCTCAAGTCACTGACTACTTCCATCACACCACAGGAACGCCGTATTGGCCACCGGAGTGGAATCAACCCACAAAAGCGGTTGTGAATCTAACAAAAGCGGTGTGAATCGCCCCAAAATCTTGAAGTCGACATGTTTGGATATGAGTCGTCACCGTGAGTCCTCCAATGAAGCAAACGAAGCCACTACCGTAGAATTGTCGTGGAAGAAATATATATACACTCATGTGGTGGGACCCTTCCCCAGACCCTCATCTTGCGGGATGCCTTCGTGCACCGGGCTTCCCCTTTTACAAGTAATATATATATATATATATATATATATATATATATATATATATATATATATATATATATATATATATTTATATATATATATATATTTCAATATGAAGTATACTACTTCTCTTCTTTATAAGTAGCAAGGGTTTAACTTTTATCGACAGCAAACAGTAGGTAGATTTGAGAAACATCTTGCTGAATGTCGACAGTGGGTTGAAGAACTGGAGCAGTTGATCATGTTAGATTCTTCTAATAGAAATTCTTTCAATTCCAATGCATCACTCTTGCAGTCACTTCCACAAGTCATGTCAAATGTGCATGACTTTTTTGTTCATGTTGCAGCAAAGGTAAGAGAAACTAGTTTTATTTGAAGTGTAAGATCGTCTCTCTAAAAAAAAAAGACCGTTTCTCTAAACTATGATGAATCTAATGTAAGATCTTTAATGGGGAAGAAAATTTATTTTCTTTTCTTGATGGTCAAAATTCTCTGAAATAGATGTGGTAGTATTTTATTATGGTTAATCTCATATTCTCATGAGGTGCCCTCTGAGTATTGAGATTTTTTCATCCAATTCCCAGGACATCATTTTGTTTCATCAAATTTTGTTTTGTTTACTCTCCTGAAATTCAATCTGCGCACTGCGTAAAATTAATACTTCGTAGGATACAATGTTTCACATTCATAGAATCATCACTTTAATTTCAGTGGATGCGTAGTGTATTGAGTACATGCATATGTTTATGACCTAAATCGATTTGAAAGTGAAGTGAAAAGAAATTCAATGATACTCTCTTATTTCAATTCTATAGCATGAGTTCAGATCCTTTGAATATGCTGGATAAAATCTGAGGCACATGATCAACTTCTGTTAAGGACTTGGTGTGAGGGCAAGGGGTGGAGTGGGGTGGGGAGGATTGATTGGTTCAATATTTGCAAACAATGTCTAGTGAGTTGGATGAGACCAGACAACAATAGTTGAACTGTTGAAGCCTTGAAGGGAGTCGTATGGAATCAACCATTTTATTTATTGTAAAATAGAAATTGTTGTATTGCCTTTTTGGGTTCATCATTGGTTAATCTTTCTTCTTCATATTGGAATTAATTATACATGTTGCCCTTACATTTTATTTTAGGTAGAGAGCATCCATCAATACATCGAATCTATGAAAACGGCATACCTTATTGATCAACGACGACGAGGAGATGCTGGTGATCCTTTTCTTGAAGCTGACCGACGGGAAACCGCCAAGCAAGAGGCTGCTGCTAGAAGGGTTCATCCAACCTTACATTTGCCCGCACCGCCAAAACCACCAACTCATGTTACTGGGTTGCAGTCCAGCTCAGCCATGCCCGGATCATCTACTGCACCACAAACATCTGCTGTCATTTCAAATAATTCGGCTGCAAGTGGGTCCTCACTTTTTAGTACCCCTGCAATTGCCACCTCATCATCTTCTCTTTTTTCTACACCCACCACTTCTGCTCCGACAGCCTCATTGTTCGGGTCTGGTGCTTCCCCACAGACAACACTATTTGGCCCTTCGTCCACCTCTACACCAGCATTCTCTAATCCTTTGTTTGGCTCAACCCCATCTTCTGCAGTTACAAATTTTTCAAACCCTTTTGCATCAGGTAATCTATAAAATGAGTTGTATGATGGTTTATTCTACCTTGTTAATCAATTGGTTCCCTTAATCCCTTTCCCTTTATTTTTTCATAAAAAATGTGTTAAGTGTTCAGGTTGTTTATAATATAGAGATATGCGTGCTAGTTAATATGAAAATAAAATATTAGCAGTAATATTTTGATGAAACTCTCAAGTTGAAAAAAAAAACAACGATAGATGTTATTTACGCAACAGATCTACAGAAGCATCCCTTTAATGTAATCTAACTACGAGTTAGGTCATTAGTCATTACTATTGTCAACCTCAACGTTGATGACCTTGACCACTAATTCACACTGTTTTTTCCTCTTCTCTGAGATTTCACTGTATATGGCACTTGCATGACACTATTTACAAGAGATGATTGTGGTTTAAGAATCTTGGCATTTTTAGCAATGGCGAGAACTCAGCGGTTAGCCGACCCCAAAATCTTTTGGGAATATGGCTTGGATGTTGTAGTTGTTATTGCCCAGAACTCAGCAGTTATAATTAATAACCATCTTACTAGTCATTATATTTTGCCCCTGTTATGTTTTCCTCCTTATATTCAATTTTCTGTGGGAATTTCATTTTTCACAGTCCTTATCTCTTATGATTTTTTGTCTTGTAGGAGCTGCAGTAGGATCAGGGTCAAGCTTTGGAACTTTATCTGTGAGTGGACCTATGGTTCTCATCATAGATTTGAGTATCTCTTTCCTGATAGTAAATACTCCCTCCTCCGTCCCGTTGGAATGTTCCCGGTTTGATCTACACACATATTAAGGAAATAAACTTACCATGGGGTAAATTTTACTCTTTTGACACTGTTTCGACACTGTTTGGCACTGTTTCAACACTGTTTGACACTGTTTTGCACTGTTTGACCCTATTTTGATGTAGGATAACTTTCCATTTAGGGAAATGAGAACTTTCCAACGGGACATCCAAAAAAGGAAAGCGGGAACATTCCAACGGGACGGAGGGAGTATAACCTTAGGATGTGTTTGGGGGGGGGGGGGGGGGGGGGTAGAGTGAGAGAGAGAGGATCAGTTATCTTTCATTTCACTTGATAACATTTCAAAACAAATGTTATCGAGTGTTTTAGTATTTGAAACAGGTGATATAAAATCATGAATCTACTACATAAACTCAATGTCCGTTTCATTAACTATTTCCATGAATCATAAAAAGTACATCTCCTTACCTCCATAAACCCCTCCTGTGTACTTACATATTACATACCTTAAACAGGATCTCAATCTCCACTTGTTGGAATATTAACCACACTTCATAGCATTTTGTTTGCTGTTTTAAACTATCTATGTTGCTATAATGTTTTTCCTTGTTGCTGTAGAAAACAAGAGCTAAAAGTCGCACAGGAAGACGCTAAATGATATAAGTGTGGATGATAAGTCCACCCTACATTCGCTTCCAATGTGAGCTGTTGCTAGTAAATCTATATACTTCTGTCCAAGACTTCAGTGATCTTCTTCACTGTTCATTCCTTGGATGTGCTGAACTTCTTGCAGGGGATCTAACGTGCAGCCACAGAACCATTTCCCAACTTCGTTTGTATTTCTTTGGGCTTCACTACTCACAGAGTCACAGGTGCATGTTTTTGTTTTATAAGATTCAAATGTAATATTGTAAAATTTATTAGTTTCTGTTCATTTTAGATGACCATTTGTACTGGTATATTTTTATACAGCATCATTTTTTCAATTTAGAGGTATCGTATTGTTAGGATAATGGGCTTACGAGAATAATAATAATTATTAAGTGTGATAGTGTAATAGAGGGTCCTGGGCCTGGTAGTAGTTGGCCTTGACTGGCCCATTAGAAATAGAATAAATAAGGGTGAGTGGTGAGTTGATGAGGAGGCAGAACTTGGGATCAGGACTGGGATATTGGGAGTGAGAGACCACTCGAAGAGTCTCAAACCTTTCCTTTCATGACTTTCTGTATTCCTTCACTAAATGTTCATTAATAAACTACTACTTTCTTCTTGGATTCTTCAGTTACTTATCATTGGTATCAGAGCCTCCTTCCTGGAGCCTGAATCGATCGTCAGTTTCAACGACAGTTGAAGAAGAAGATGGACAATAGCGACAGTCAGTGGAAGGAGTTGCGCTATATGCTGTGCAAACTTCGTCACCGTCAGAGGCGACATAGAGACAGAGCTAGGAGTCCACCTAGACACCGTCGGCCAATCGAAAATCAGGTGTTTCCGTCCGTCGCTCCTCCTAGTTCGCAATCGCGAACTGCTTCGCGTAGTTCGCAGACACCTTCGCTAGCGCAGGTCTCTTCACAGTCGCTAGCTGATTCTACCGGTCCGCAGATGTCTTCGCAAGCCTCTTCAGCTTCGTCGCGAACAGCATCTTCCAGTCAACAAGTTTCTTCGCAAATAGATCTCCCTTGTTCGCAGGTCTCTTCATCTACTATCATCTCGAATCAAAGTGTGAGGCTATCAGAAGGAGACTCCAAATTTCTGCGAAATCCCTATGTGAACCCTAGTATCACTCCAGACAGAGGAGACACCATCAGTTCGCAGACTTCATCCTACCCTAGCAGTTCACTTCAAGGCACGATGCGATTGGAAGGAGAAGCCTCCACGTCGCCGTTGATGTACGTGTCACAAGAGTCAGGCAATCCGCAGAAAACTCTCTCTGAAGAGGAAACTGAGGAAATGGAAGAGGATGAATCAAAGTCTGAGAAAAAGGAGGACAAAATTGAAATGCAAAATCAAAATAATTCCTCTGAGGGGTTTGATAGTTTGAGCTATATTCACTGCTATAATTCTGATCTTATGAAAGTAGCTAACAATAGTGATGCTGAAAAAGTACTGCACCACTATCATTTCACAGAAGACGAATTAGAGGTCTCTGGTTGTCTTGGTATGGATTATAATCAGCACTTTGGTGGTGGTGTGATGTACTGGAATCATTTTGACCCTATTCAACAGTTCTTAACTATGGGGACCACAGATGGTATGCTGAAAGCAGTTGGAGGGAACAACATGGAAGGTCCTATGGTATGGGAGCTGGAGAACAGAAACTTATCTTCTATATTAAAAAGGAAGTCAAACCTACCCACATTCTCTGCTATTTATGGCATTCATTACACGTTTAGGGAGATGAACGATGACGATATTCAACCCACAGGACGTCCACCAGATAATCCGGAAGGGGCAAAAAATGTTGAGGCCGATGCCAGCTCACTTTCAACTCATGCTTTGCTCGAAGGGACAGTTGCTGAAGCTGCAGAGAAAAATTTCAGGAAATACAGCATAAAGTGGTGGGAAGTTGGGCCAGAGATGCAGTTGCTAGAAGATCTTTACCTCTGCAACATTGTGGAGTAGGATGCAACAAAGTCCTTGCCTCTGCTCTTTCTTGCTATGCTCTTTCTGGCTATTGAAGGAGTGATGATGAAGGTTCAAATCAGGAAGGTATGGGTCCAGAAAGCAGTGAAGTACTGGGAAGGGAGAGGTGCAAGAATGAAGGTGAACCTAAAGATCAAGGCTGTTTAATATCACCCACCTTGAGGACAAGGTGGTTGTCCAACGGGGGAGATATGTTAGGATAATGGGCTTACGAGAATAATAATAATTAAGTGTGATAGTGTAATAGAGGGTCCTGGGCCTGGTAGTAGTTGGCCTTGACTGGCCCATTAGAAATAGAATAAATAAGGGTGAGTGGTGAGTAGATGAGGAGGCAGAACTTGGGATCAGGACTGGGATATTGGGAGTGAGAGACCACTCGAAGAGTCTCAAACCTTTCCTTTCATGACTTTCTGTATTCCTTCACTAAATGTTCATTAATAAACTACTACTTTCTTCTTGGATTCTTCAGTTACTTATCACGTATGATACATTGATACTTTGATCTTTTGAGGACGTTTAGCTGCCAAGTAGATCATGTTTCAGTCTAGGTTGGGACATGGGGGAGCCACAGTCAGGAGTCCAAACAGGGCTGGGCAATTACAATGAATTTTTTAGAAAAAATTTCAACACAACTCTTTACACTAATATTTGAAGTTTTTTTATATTTGAAGTCCGGGCCTAACATAGGTCTCTAGCTCCGCCCATAACCATGCTTGAAAAGTAAAAATGCACAAACAGTCCCTTTGAGCAGGTAGTAAGTTTCGATTTATGATTGAATCTAAGATTTTGAAGAGTAAAAATGTTTACCAGTTCATCACCACTAGGCATGGACCGGCTGGTCTTGAATGCGTGTGTGTATTGAACTGAGACATTCCATATTTCCATGCTTGCAAAACAGCATTTTGAAACAAGTGTTTGTGTTTAAAGTTAAGTAGCTTAAAGATGAAAGCATGAGTGCTTTAAAATGCTTTATATTTCTTCTATTACAAATAACTTTTAAACCAAACATTTTCTCCCTCTGTCCCAGTGTCCCACCCAAAAAGGTTGATACATTTTGAATTTTTTGGTCAATGATGGTTAAGTTTGACCAATGATATCTTTTAATACAAAATTATTTAAAATATGAAAATTATATGAGCATAATCTTTATTAATTTTTTTTACATAAAAGTATAAAATTTATAAATTACAAACAAATATAATACCTAAAATCATTGTCTAAATTTTACCACTCTTGACCAAGAAAAGTCAAAATGTATCAATTTTTTTTGGGAAAGAGGTAGTAATTTTTACTTATTAAATATCACTTTCATTTTATATATCACCAATTTTTATTGTTAGTCATTTTTCATATAATCTTTAAAATATAACTTTCAAAAGCAGAAGCAAATGCAAAAGTAGTAACTTTCATTCTATGAGCGGCTGATAAGTAGTTTGAAATATTCATCATGGCTTTGCATTGCCTTTTTTGAACTTAGTCATATAGAGGTTAGAATCCAACCGACACATGACTCGTGACTCGTGACTAAGCAAAACTATAGAATCAACTATGCACAAGGTTTTGAATTCATTTCCGCCTTTCAAATTCACAAAATATACTCATGAAGAGTACAATAAAAACTTTTGGCGTATGAGGCTGATCAGTCACTTTTTTCACTAAAAATGTAATTTTTGATTTAACGCACTAAATTGTGTAATGATATGAAAAAGTAAGGTTAAGTTTACTTTTCTAGTTATATTGACTGAAGTTATTGTAGAGAATCATTTTAGTTATTTATTCATGTAATTTTTTCTTTATTTTATTAATAAAATATATTTTAAACATAATTTATTTTTTCATTAATGACCAATATCAGCCAATGCAATTAGAACTTCATAAATTTAAGCAGAATCAGCTGATTCAACCGACTTCAGTGTTATCAAACGAGTTCTAATCTAGTTCTAATCTGGTGCTTAGACGAGAAGCACAAATTCAACATGTGCTTAAATGGTTACTTCTGTTATATGCATTACTATTGGTTGATGCATGATAGTTGGTATCATTAAAGCATAGTTTTTCTATTATTATTAATAATAAAAATCACTCTATCCTTATATTCATTGCATTAGCCTAAAAAATATAAAAAACAAAAACAAAAGAAACAATAGTCAATAGGAGAAAATGGGGAGCAGAATAAGAAAGATACCGGAACAGTTTGGATCAAGGCGCATGCAACTCTGAATCTCAAAAACTTTGAGATACTATCCCCATTAGTCAAAACCTGAGGCGGAGGAAACCAAAGAAAATCAGAAAAACAAAACAGTCAATCATCAACAAATTTCAGGCTCAGATCGATTCTTTGAAATCAGAGCCATAAATATCACCCCCAGAAGTTGAACCCTTTATTCACATTTTTGCTACAATACAAATAGCATCTTCTTATAGCATGGGGGCATTGATAGATCAATAGAATTTGGGACTGGTTAGTCCTAAGACTTGGTCAGGCCCTAGGCTCTAGGACCAGTTATTTTGCTAGGTAGTTTAACTTCTTTTTTCTACTGCTCCATGTAAGTTTCTTCATTTCCACTAAATTTTGCAAAGCATAAGGGTTATTTCTCCCCTTGCCTCTTTAGTCTCTGACAGAGCCTAAAACAATAAAGTATGACACTAATAGGAAATTACCCAGGAGGAGGAAGAGAAATTGCACTACGATTAGTCAATGCAACCACAACCGGTTGGACGAGATGGGTTGAAAGGAAATTTTCAGACAACAGAATTCATCAGTTTTGAAAATATAAAGATCAATTCAACTCGATAAATTTATCAGTGCAACCTTTATTGATTAATATGGGTTGGGTTGGGTTGATGATGGTTCAACTCATACTAACCAACTTAAATGCAGGTTGGAACATTTAAATTCCAAATTAAATGAAGGTTGAAGTAATTAAAATCTAATATAGGTTTTTGTTTTCCCGTTACAAGAGTGTAGAAGAGACCCTTCAAAGTCCCGGGTGTACAGAGTCCCTACCTCTTCTCACTGTACAATGTAGTCCACGGTAGAGGGCCTCTGTTGGCAGTGACGTCAAAATGCCAATAACCCATTGGCCTCTATCATTTTTTCTTTTGCATTTTAAAATCATGAGCTTTTGAAGGTGCCATTGCTGTCCAACTGATTATTGCCCTGTTTGGTAGCATGTATTGGCTTCTTCTGATTATTAGCATAATCAGCAAATAATAATATTAAGAAAAAGTAACATGTGACTTGCTTATTTGGCTGAAACCGCTTTAAGCAGGTCTTTTACTTTCAGAAAACTAAAAGACTCAATTATTTCAGCCAAATAAGTTTAACCAAACATGCCATATGTCACAGTACATCTATATCTAATGAATGAAACATGCACACACCACATGGTAGTTGAATGAGAAAAAATTAAACTAAACTCTTTCTTAAGAACCTGTAAGGTCAAATTCACCAACTTCTGAATGTGTCATTGTTTCCAGCAACCCGTGCAACATAGCTTCCATTATTCCACTCTGTGGGTGCGACAGATCTAAAGAAGAAAATACACATGTCTTGTTCTTCATTTCCTCTAACCAACTAAAACCCGGATCATTCTCACTCACCGTCTCTTTTATCTTTCTCCTCATCTCTCTGACACCGTCCCATCTTCCCACAGCAGCATAAAAATTTGAAACTAATATGTTTGTTGCACTGTCCGTAGCATCCAAATCCAACACATGTCTGGATGCCCGAATCCCTACTATTAAATCTCCATAGCGAACACAATAGCTCAGAAGAATCCTCCATGCTTCAAGATGATGATAATCACCAACCGGAAGTTCTTCAATAATGAACTCTTCTGCCTCCTCTAGCAACCCCGCCCGACTCAACAATGCAATCATGCAGGAGTAGTGTTTGGGTCCCGGTTTTATCCCTTTTTCTTTCATGCAGTTCCATAAGTGCTTCGCCTTGATGAACAAACCACAATGGCTACAAGAGGTGAGCAAAGACAAAAATGTTACCTCATCTGGTTCTAGACCATTGTTTATAATCTCATTGAAAGTCCAGAATGCATGTTCAGGCTGCCCATGATATCCATACCCTCCCAACATTGCATTCCAACATTTTAAATCTGGTTTATTTGTAAGTGAAAACACAACTTTTGAAGATTTGAGGTCTCCATTTTTGGCATACATATCCACAAGATTCCCACAAATACTCATTTCAGAACCACACCCTTTCTTCATCACAAGGCAATGCACCATCTCTCCTTGTCTAAGAGTTGCTCCTTCCGCACAAGTGTTGAGAATTGCGCTAAGAGTGAATTTATCAATCTCTAGACCGTTCTGGAACATTCCATGGAATAATCTGAGAGATCCATCGGTGTCACCGATTCTACAATGGCCAACTATCATGTCAGTCCAGAGAACTATATCTTTCTCTGAAACTGAAGAGAATATCTTTTGTGCTGAATCAGCTTCATTGTTGTTAAAGTACAAGGTTAACAATGTGCTCACAATATAGACATTACTCCCAAGTCCTGCCTTCTCAACTTGGGCATGAAGGGGTTTCCCATAATACTCCGCCTGAAATGCACATGTGGCAGAAATAATAGATGCAAAAGTATATCCATCCGGTGGGCTTAGAGATCTTTGTGCAAACTGGACAAACATTCTCATTGCACTCTCTCCGTCTCTGTTCTCTGCATATCCAGATATCATTGAGTTCCAAGACACTGAATCTGGATTGTCAATCTTTTTAAAAACATCCAATGCTGTTATCACGTCACCACAATTACAATACATATCAAGAAGAGCACTGTGTAAAGGTAGATCAGCACATACCCCAGATAGGATCAACTGAGCATAATAACAATAATAACAATAACAATAACAATAACAATAATAATAATAATTAGGGGTGTGCACTAACCGGTTTAAACCGGAAAACCGGAACAGAAAAACCGGAACCGGATCAAACCGGAATGATATTCGGTCCGATTCGGTACGGTCCAGTCCGGTTTTGAACCGGTGCACACCCCTAATAATAATAATAATAATAATAATAATAATAATAATAATAATAATAAGGGGTGTGCACTATCCGGTTTAAACCGGAAAACCGGATCGAATCGGACCGGAAAAACCGGAACCGGATCGAACCGGAATGATATCCGGTTCGGTATGGCCCGGTCCGGTTTTGAACCGGTGCACACCTCTAATAATAATAATAATAATAATAAAATATGGTTTGGTCTGGTCTGTTTTAGTCTGGTCTAGTCTGGTCTGGTCTGTTTTGGTCTGGTTTGGTCTGGTCTTGTCTGGGACGAATTACATTCCAAGTAAAAACAACCTTGCATACCACCATCAATAAAATACCTTCTTGATATTTTTTACATATGAATTTTGTAATAAATTAATGGAAAAGTTGATTGTAATAATCCCAACTACTGACGGTCCGCTAATAATAATCCCAACTATCGATTATTTCAGAATAATCCCAACTTTAGGGACCTTCCGTCAATGATGGTCCGACGTGACCGACTATAAATAAATTACTATAGTTTCTAAAAAGATATAGTAGGTAATCCCTATAAATAATCCCAAATTTTAATTTTTACGCTTAATTTCTATTAAAGATTCACTTGTTAGAGCATGTAATATGCGGTCATGGACCATTATTGGCGGACGGTCCATATAGTTGGGATTTTACAAAAATAATCAATAGTTGGGATTATTGTTAGCGGACCGACAATAGTTAGGATTATTGATAGAGTATATAGACTCGGACCCCCGGGTCTCACGACTATTGGGCCCGGACAGCGGCCCACACACATCTTACGGATATCATTTGTATTATTGTACTGCTTATATGTCATTTGTATGTAACTATGTACTAGATTAGTCTTTTATGTAGTTGGGCTATCGGGCCCATATCAGCGGCCCGACCCATTATTTCCCTATTTATACTCCTCTTGGAGCCGTTTGTAACCCTAACTCATAATTCATATACAATATCATTTCCAATATTCATCTTCTCCAATTATCTAGCTCAATCTCTCCATTTTAATATACTTGGATACCTATAATCCATCAATGGTGCTCTCGTTGAGAGATTAGAGCATAATCAAGTGAGAAACCCTCCCAAAAAATACAAAAAATTCATCCAAATCACAAAAAATCAACCAAAAATATATCTGGAAAAATCAAAAGAAAGATCCAGAGATGAAGATTTGGGTTTCCCACACAGAAGCCGGAGATGTCTTCACCGGGAAGGTCCTCGCCGCCCTGGTCGCCGCCGCACGCCAACGGCAAAAGATATCGTCTGCAGCTCGTTGCACAAAGTACGAGCTCCACAGCCTTGCCGGCGTTGCGCCTGGTCGCCCCGCCACTGCTCCAGTCACCATCGCTACTCAAGGGAAGCTCGGAGGTCCACCATTAATGGCCACCTCAGAGCTCCGGAAGATGACGGTGACCGAATCTGAGTTTCTTCATCCCCGCCACAGAGCCGCCTGCCTCCTCCTGGGGATCTACCGGCCGACCTCCGCCTGAGGGTCGCAGCTCTTCTTCCGGTCTGAGGCCGCCATGCCCCAGGGCGAGCCAAATGCGACTGAAGGCCTTCTTCCCACATCTTGGTGTGCGGCTGAAGGGCAGCTTGGCGTTGATTTTCTGTCGAGGAATTGGTGTGCGGCTGAAGGGCAGCTTGGCGTTGATTTTCTGTCGAGGAATTGGTGTGCGGCTGAAGGGTGGTGCGTACGCGCGTTGATTTTCTGTCGAGCAAGAAAAGGTCTGCCAAACCTAAGACAAGTCAGGAAAGAGTGGGCTAGGACCACTTCAAGCCCAAGACTGATTCTCGCCATAAGAACGGGCCTCAGTTTCAGCCCTTGCAATCCAATAATTTCCAGCCCAATTTCAAGAGCTAAGTATCCAACAGCCCAATACGCCTATTTATACCTTTAAAATATTTATTAAATGATAGTAGTATAATTATTACTATTATTAATTATATTATTTCCACCACCATTATGGCGGGTTAAAAACCCCCGAGGTGGTGAAGATCATTGTGAGGGATTAAAATTTCCCGAGGTCGCTAGTGATGTATTATTATTGGCGTTATTATTTTTATCACCGGTCTCGAGCAACAAAAAATGAAATCCCCACAACAATACTAAGTACATATCAGGCAAATACTACACATTATGGACGAAGCAAGACCATACATGCGGATTAGACGAGCGCCCAGCGCCGTCCCTCATCTTAGACGAGCGCCCAGCGCCGTCCTCCATTTGTAGACGAGCGCCCAGCGCCGTCCCTCATTTTCAGACGAGCGCCCAGCGCCGTCCTTCATTTTTTAGACGAGCGCCCAGCGCCGTCCCTCATTTTCAGACGAGCGCCCAGCGCCGTCCATCATCTCAGACGAGCGCCCAGCGCCGTCCCTCATTTTTTAGACGAGCGCCCAGCGCCGTCCATCATTTTTTAGACGAGCGCCAATCGCCGTCCATCATTTTCAGACGAGCGCCCAGCGCCGTCCCTCATTTTCAGACGAGCGCCCAGCGCCGTCCATCATTTTCAGACGAGCGCCCAGCGCCGTCCATCATCTCAGACGAGCGCCCAGCGCCGTCCACCATCTTAGACGAGCGCCCAGCGCCGCCCCTCATCTTAGACGAGCGCCCAGCGCCGTCCTTCATTTTTTAGACGAGCGCCCAGCGCCATCCCTCATTTCAGACGAGCGCCCAGCGCCGTCCATCATTTCAAACGAGCGCCCAGCGCCGTCCCTCATCTTAGACGAGCGCCCTACGCCGTCCTTCATTCTTAGACGAGCGCCCAGCGCCGTCCATCATCTCAGACGAGCGCCCAGCGCCGTCCATCATCTTAGACGAGCGCCCAGCGCCGTCCTCCATTTGTAGACGAGCGCCCAGCGCCGTCCCTCATTTTAAGACGAGCGCCCAGCGTCGTCCTTCATTCTTAGACGAGCGCCCAGCACCGTCCCTCATTTTCAGACGAGCGCCCAGCGCCGTCCTTCATTCTTAGACGAGCGCCCAGCGCCGTCCCTCATGTTTTAGACGAGCGCCCAGCGCCGTCCCTCATTCTTAGACGAGCGCCCAGCGCCGTCCATCATCTCAGACGAGCGCCCAGCGCCGTCCATCATCTCAGACGAGCGCCCAGCGCCGTCCATCATCTCAGACGAGCGCCCAGCGCCGTCCATCATCTCAGACGAGCGCCCAGCGCCGTCCATCATCTGAGACGAGCGCCCAGCGCCGTCCATCATCTTAGACGAGCGCCCAGCGCCGTCCTCCATTTGTAGACGAGCGCCCAGCGCCGTCCCTCATTTTCAGACGAGCGCCCAGCGCCGTCCATCATCTCAGACGAGCGCCCATCGCCGTCCATCATCTCAGACGAGCGCACAGCGTCGTCCATCATCTTAGACGAGCGCCCAGCGTCGTCCCTCAATTTTTAGACGAGCGCCCAACGCCGTCCATCATCTCAAGACCGGCTTCCTCAGCGCCGCGAGTCTTGAGCCAGCGATCGGGCTCACCATCCCTTCCTGGATGGTGATCATCGCCTTTATATGACGATCAGCTTCATCAGCGCCTCGTCATCATATTATAGGACCGGCTCCTCATCGCCGTTGTCCTCACATCACGATCGGCCCCTCAGCCTCGGCGTGATCATCTATCTCAAGACCGGCTTCCTCAGCGCCGCGAGTCTTGAGCCAGCGATCGGGCTCACCATCCCTTCCTGGATGGTGACCATCGCCTTTATATGACGATCAGCTTCATCAGCGCCTCGTCATCATATTATAGGACCGACTCCTCATCGCCGTTGTCCTCACATCACGACCAGCCCCTCGGCCTCGCGTGATCATCTATCTCAAGACCGGCTTCCTCAGCGCCGCGAGTCTTGAGCCAGCGATCGGGCTCACCATCCCTTCCTAGATGGTGACCATCGCCTTTATATGATGATCAGCTTCATCAGCGCCTCGTCATCATATTATAGGACCGACTCCTCATCGCCGTTGTCCTCACATCACGACCGGCCCCTCGGCCTCGTCTATCTCAAGACCGGCTTCCTCAGCGCCACGAGTCTTGAGCCAGCGATCGGGCTCACCATCCCTTCCTGGATGGTGACCATCGCCTTTATATGACGATCAGCTTCATCAGTGCCTCGTCATCATATTATAGGACCGGCTCCTCATCGCCGTTGTCCTCACATCACGACCGGCCCCTCGGCCTCGGCGTGATTATCTATATCAAGACCGGCTTCCTCAGCGCCGCGAGTCTTGAGCCAGCGATCAGGCTCACCATCCCTTCCTGGATGGTGACCATCGCCTTTATATGATGATCAGCTTCATCAGCGCCTCGTCATCATATTATAGGACCGGCTCCTCATCGTCGTTGTCCTCACATCACGACCGGCCCCTCGGCCTCGGCATGATCATCTATCTCAAGACCGGCTTCCTCAGCGCCGCGAGTCTTGAGCCAGCGATCAGGCTCGCCATCCCTTCCCGGATGGTGACCATCGCCTCTATATGACGATCGGCTTCACCATCGCCTCGTCATCATTGTTTGGACCGACTCCTCATCGTCGTCGTCCTCAGATCACGACCGGCCCCTCGGCCTCGGCGTGATTATCTATCTCAAGACCGGCTTCCTCAGCGCCACGAGTCTTGAGCTAGCGATCGGGCTCACCATCCCTTCCCGGATGGTGACCATCGCCTTTATATGACGATCGGCTTCACCATCGCCTCGTCATCATTGTTTGGACCGACTCCTCATCGTCGTCGTCCTCATATCACGACCGGCCCCTCGGCCTCGGCGTGATTATCTATCTCAAGACCGGCTTCCTCAGCGCCGCGAGTCTTGAGCTAGCGATCGGGCTCGCCATCCCTTCCCGGATGGTGACCATCGCCTTTATATGACGATCGGCTTCACCATCGCCTCGTCATCATTGTTTGGACTGACTCCTCATCGTCGTCGTCCTCATATCACGACCGGCCCCTCGGCCTCGACGTGATTATTTATCTCGAGACCGGTCTTAGTCATTCCTTTACCGGATGATGACCGTTGCATGGATTTTTGGACCGGCCCCTCATCGCCGTCGTCCTCACATCATGCCCGGCCCCTCGGCCTCGGCGTGATTATCTATCTCAAGACCGACTTCCTCAGCGCTGAGAGTCTTGAGCTGGCGATCGGGCTCACCATCCCTTCCTGGATGGTGACCGTCGCCTTTATATGACGATTGGCCCATCATGGCCTCGTCATCATTTATTGGAACGGCTCATCATCGCCGTCATGCTCACATCGCGGCAGACCCCTCGGTCTCATTGCGATCTCGAGCTAGCGACTGGGCTCACCATCCCTTCCTGGATGGTGACCATCGCCTCTATATGACGGCCGGCTCATTATTGCCCCGTCATCATATTTCGGATTGGCTCTTTTCATCGCCATCCGCGCATCACGACCGGCCCCTCGGCCTCGGCGTGACTATCTATCTCAAGACCGGCTTCCTCAGCGCCGAGAGTCTTGAGCTAGCGATCGGGCTCGCCATCCCTTCCTGGATGGTGACCATCGCCCTTATATGACGATTGGCTTCATTCTTGCCTCGTCATCATATTATCGGATCGGCTCATCATCTCCGTCCGCACATCACGATCGGCCCCTCGGCCTCGGCATGATTATCTATCCCCAAGACCGGTCTCAGTCATTCCTTCATCGGATGGCGACCGCTGCTTGGACTTTTGGATCAGCCTCATAGTGCTGACGACCTCGCATCACGATCGGCCACTCGGCCACGACGTCACACCCTATCCCAACACCGGCTTCATCAACGCTGAGTGTGTTGGGCTAGCGATCAGGCTCGCCATCCCCTCCTGGATGGTGACTATCGCCTCTATATGACGATCGGCTCCATCATCGCCTCGTCATCATATTTCGGACTGACTCCTCATCATTGTCATCCGCACATCGCGATCAGCCTCTCGGCCGCGACATGATTATTTATCTCAAGACCGGCTCCCAGCGCCGAAGTCTTGTTATAGCAATTGGGCTCGCCATCCCTTCCCGGATGGCGACCGTCGTCCCTATATGACGCACGGCTCAGCATCGCCTCGTCCTCACATTTAGACCGGCCCCAGTGCCGAAGTCCTTATCTAGCGACCAGGCTCGCCATTCCCTTCCTGGATGGTGACCGTCGCCTTCATATGAAGCATGGCTTATCATCGCCTCGTCCCCATATTCGGACCGGCTCACCAGCGCCATCGTCCCCATATTCGGACCGGTTCGTCAGCACTGTCGTCCTCATATTCGGACCGACTCATCAGCGTCGTCGTCCTCATATTCAGACAGGCGTCCACCGCCTCGTCCCCCTATTCAGATATAGCGAACATCTTGCGGTCTCCGGCCGAAAGGCTAAAGGAGCCCAGAGTTCAGCCATATGTCGCTCCGTCATCTTTATTTGATGACGCGAAGCTCATTTGCAGGCCCATCGGCCATATATCGCTCTGTCATCTTTATTTGATGATGAAGAGCTCATTTGTAGGCCCATCGGCCATATATCGTTCTGTCATCTTTATTTGATGACGAGGAACTCATTTGTAGGCCTCTGAGCCACATCTTGCTCCGTCATCTTTATTTGATGACGTGAAGCTCAGTTGCAGGCCCATCGGGCATATATCGCCTCGTCATCTTTATTTGATGACGCGAAGCTCATTTACAGGCCCATCGGCCATATCTCGCTCCGTCGTCTTTATTTGATGACATGGCGCTCGCATATAGGCCTCTGAGCCATATATCACGCTGTCGTCTTTATTTGACGACGTGGAGCTCTTATGCAGGCCCCTCGGCCGCACCATCGCCCCGTCGTCTTTATTTGACGACGTGGAGCTCTTATGCAGGCCCCTCGGCCGCACCATCACCCCGTCGTCTTTATTTGATGACGTGGAGCTCTTATGCAGGCCCCTCGGCCGCACCATCGCCCCGTCGTCTTTATTTGACGACGTGGAGCTCTTATGCAGGCCCCTCGGCCGCACCATCACCCCGTCGTCTTTATTTGACGACATGGAGCTCTTATGCAGGCCCCTCGGCCGCACCATCGCCCCGTCGTCTTTATTTGACGACGTGGAGCTCTTATGCAGGCCCCTCGGCCGCACCATCACCCCGTCATCTTTATTTGACGACGTGGAGCTCTTATGCAGGCCTCTGAGCCATACCATTGCCCCGTCGTCTTTATTTGACGACGTGAAGCTCTTATGCAGGCCCCTCGGCTGCACCATCGCCCCGTCGTCTTTATTTGACGACGTGGAGCTCTTATGCAGGCCCCTCGGCCGCACCATCGCCCCGTCGTCTTTATTTGACGACGTAGAGCTCTTATGCAGGCCCCTCGGGCGCACCATCGCCCTGTCGTCTTTATTTGACAACGTGGAGCTCTCGTACAGGCCTCTCGGCCCATCGGCCTTACGTTCTGGTCATCTTTATTTGATGAACCAGACATCATATTGTGGACGGTCGCTCGACCCATCCCTTAGTCATCTTTATTTGATGACTAGGACTACTAATCATGATGAACTACCCACATCTAGAGATCGACCTCGACCATCCAGCAGACGGGCACCGTTACAGCTCCATCTCCAGACCGAAGGGCTCGCACCTTTTGTTTCATTTTGGGGGCATCCGGTGTACTCTTTTTCCCTCATTAGGATTTTTTCCCACAGGGTTTTTCCTAATGAGGTTTTTAACGAGGCATCTCCCCATCGTGGATCAAAAGGTGTCAACCCTCGGCCTCCTGTTGAAGACATCATCCGACACGCATTACTCTACTCCTCTTCACCTCATTACACTCGCCTCAAGGAGTGGGGGACTGGAAGAGCGGGGGACTTAGCGCCTCCGTTAACCAAAGAAGCAGAAATTCAAATTTTTGTTCATGAAGTTTACTCACCAGACGGCGACAGATCAGCACACGGTTCTACTCTCTTTCGCCTCGAATACTCTCGACTCAGAGAGTGGGGGACTCCTGATAGAGTATATAGACTCGGACCCCCGGGTCTCACGACTATTGGGCCCGGACAGTGGCCCACACACATCTTACGGATATCATTTGTATTATTGTACTGCTTATATGTCATTTGTATGTAACTATGTACTAGATTAGTCTTTTATGTAGTTGGGCTACCGGGCCCATATTAGCGGCCCGACCCATTATTTCCCTATTTATACTCCTCTTGGAGCCATTTGTAACCCTAACTCATAATTCATATACAATATCATTTCCACTATTCATCTTCTCCAATTATCTAGCTCAATCTCTCCATTTTAATATACTTGGATACCTATAATCCATCAATTATTATTTCCAATTTTTCCTAAATTAATTAGAATATTAGATTATTACAAATAATATTGTTTCTTTTAATTTTATATTTGTATAAATTATTAATTAAAAATAACGGAAAAATAAAATAAAATATTTAAATCGTTGGATTTCAATATCATTCCGTGGATCATGTTTTCCTCGTCCAACAACGTCAAAATGATCAGAGCTGTTGGGTATAACATTTTTTAAATGGCATTGCGGGTACGCGGTGACGTCAGCGCAACGTCACAATGACATCACCAAATTGAGTTAAAAGCCTGCACATCTGCCACAACCTTATCCCCATTTTTTTCTTTTCTTTCCCTCTCTCAACCCACCATATTCTTTTAACCCCCTTCATCCCTTTTCTCACTTTAACCCCCTATTTAATTCATCACTACATTAAATTAGGAGACCAAAATTTTAAACTTTAACATTTTGGACTCCTAATCCCCTACCACTACAATGTCTTACAATTTCATAAATAAGTTTATTAAGCTCCTCCTATTTTTCCCTAGAGCATCACGATTCTCGTGCTAATTATTTTTATGTTGCACGCTTTCAGATCAGAGAAAATCACATAAAGAATGACGTCATTACATAAAGTTTCTGTGTGAGGCCAATCTGGGAAACCACTGCCCCGAACATCTAGTGGCCTCACTAAATTTAGGGCTCTTTCATATTTAGGATTTTTTTTTCAAAAAAATATGAAGAAGTTTTTTCTGCTAACCATATCAAGAAAGATGTCACAAGTTCGAAACTAATCCCAGTCAAATATGCTCACATTTAACAGAGCCGATACTATAACATGTGAGAAAGTACACCCCAAAAAAGAAGACGATTTTCTCTTGTTCTGTTAATACATTTTACCTTTTTCATGACTTTTTCGGTTTTAGTTACAATTTAATGTTTATGTTTGACTATAATAATTTTAATTACTATAATTATTTATGTTTTCTGATGTGACCCAAATTATACAAGTTATGATGTTGATACCTTAACTATTTTGTGTCATTTTGTGATATACAGGTTGATGTTAGTTATTAAAATTTTAGTCTAACTATTTTTTTATTTATTTTTATGCACATTACATGTTTGAGAAATGATTCAATGCATGTATTGTTCATATCTAAGATTTTGAGAAGAGACTTTAGTAAAATGCTTATTTTTACAGATTCGTTGTTCCCATTTGATGGTTTGCTTGTGTGAAGAACCTTTTTAACATATGTTGGTGAATTATATTTTGTTATAAAAATTATATATAACTTTCACGTGTAGAAGTTGGTAGTTTTGAATGTATAGAAATTAAATTTTAAGTACTAAAGGACGGTCTTGGAGACTCATTTTGCGAGTTAAATGCATAAATGATACCTTAACTATTGATAATGTTGCACTTTTGTACCTTAACTCTTAAATGAATCAAACCGGTACCTTAACTATATTTTATTCAAATTGAGATTTTATTCAAATTTCCAACCAAAAAATTATTCATGACAATCAAAATTTCATGTGTAGAGTCCCCCCTATAGTGATCATATGGACAAAAACAAGGTGAAGTAGACTTTATGCATAAAATTCTGGCCAACACATGTGATTTTTTGGTCAGAAATTTGAATAAAATCTCAATTCGAAACATTTATATATAGTTAATGTACCGTTTTGATTCATTTAAGAGTTCATTCATTTTCATTTACCCTAGTGTCGCAATGGCTCCCACCTACGATGGGGTAAGGGGGGTCGGATTCATTTAAGAGTTAAGGTACTAAAATACAACATTACCAATAATTAAGATACCATTTATGCATTTGGCCCGGGTGTGACTAGATCCATTCTGCTTCATGAAACTTTTGGGATTAAAGATGGACATCAAAGAATGGTGGATTCCATATCGCAACCCAAAGTACATCTTGTGGGTTGATGATTTGAAGGTGAAATACTCACATATTGAATCAAACAGTCAAGAGTTCACTCCACCTACCATTGAAATACTCACATATTTTTATCTTATTTTATACTTTTTCTATCAATTTTAGCTCTGATTTCACTTGTGGATTCTTGTTAGTCGACTTCAAATTCTTTTGAGACTAAGGTTTATATGTTGTTATTATAATAAAAAATGATCGAAAAAGTTAATAAGAGAATATAGTCTGTAGACCGTAAAAGGAGTCAACAGATTAAACTGTGATGCATATATATCATAGTCCAACATGAGTACTCTGTATGATAATTAGCTTGTATCTAAATAAAGGACAGAACATTTTAATAGATTTGTGTATTTGTTTCAGCTTCTAATGATTTATGAACTTCTTGTAATTAAACTACCCCAAATATATTCCAAATTAATTAAATTAGAAAGACAACTAGATAAGTACAAAAAACCACAAATATTTGTCCAACGTTTCTGCTGACAATCAAACTTTTAATGAAGAGCTGCAAGCGGGTGTACTGCACCTAAACTGTTGATTGTTTGCCAATCCACAAAACAAAGTGCCAGGTGGCAAGTCAAACTCAGTCAACAGGCTGTGCTCACTGTTCCACACTCTAAGGTACACTTGCTGTCCTAGATATTTCCTTGGCCAAATTGCTGACCTTAAGTTCCACATTCCCTTATTGTCCAGAGACACCAATATAGTTGTCCAAGAATATGGATACACCTGAAATATAAAATTCTCTGTCAAAATTTCCCATGTTTTGATTCTAAAACAATTATTAACCACCATTGTGTTTTGATTACATTAGTTACTTTTGGTACAATACTTCGATTTTCATAGTTACTAGTTAACATATGAATTTGATAATTACTTCGTAATATATCTAGTAAAAATCACAAAAAGTTGATTTCTAGAAAAAATGAAAAATAAAACTGAAATATCATATACACAAAAGGCATTATATATTTATATTAGAGTAATAAACTATTGCATTGCAAGTAGCAGCCGTGGACTTTCACTTATAAGTTATAAGTACGTAGGGATTGTTTGGAAGTGCTTTTGCTTAAAAACCACTTTTTGAAGTGGTTTTGGAAAAAGTGATTGGTATTAAAAGTTGATAGTGTTTGAGGAAAAAAATATTTTGAAAAAAAAAGTTGGTAGTGTTTGCTAAAATAAGTGTTTTTTGTGTCATAGAAAAAATAAAAAGCATGTTTCACCCAAAAGTCGAGAAACACTTTTTTAAGTAGAAGGTGTCATTTGCAATAGTAAAACATGGTTGTTGGATAATTATGGATAACCCAACAACAATATGCAAGACCCAATAACTAAGCCTACTTAGTAGGCCATTAGATAGGATATTGAGCCATAACCACACTTCTATTAATAGAAGAATATATGTTGTATGGAAGAGTCTTCTCTCTTCCTTTCAACACTTATTAAAGCCTAAAAGGTTATAAGGTTCATTAATGGCTTTCAAGAACTTTCTTTTACATGGATCACTCAACTTCGCTTACCCAGTTACCAAAAGAGTCAAATATATTATATATTCACCTATTTGAATTGCTCTGCATTTGTGATTATCTGATCTATTCATTCATTCATTCACTTTATGTGTTCTTATTTGTATTTATATTCTATTTTTGACAATATTTATATTTATATTTATATTCTTGATACCATACAATAAGTCTTGTATTGATGACTTAACTTCAACAATGGTAACATAAAACCAAATGTATAATAAGTAGGTAACATGAACATCGAGGAATGTTTTTTACCTGCACTGTATATCTAGGTGTAGCATCAATGAGATTATAGTTTTCTCTAAAAGAAGGATTCCATACACCATTTCCATACCTGAAATTTGAACATCAACTATATTAATCCACCCTGATTTTAATTAGTGTACTTTTGTTTGAGGTAAATTTCACTAAAACTGATGAATAAGTGAATTAAAACAATGCAGAATATATGAATAGAAATTGAAGTTAAAACGTTATTTAGTACGTAGTATGAAGTATTATTTTTAATTAGATTGAAAATTTGTACACTTCTAGACATTAATTAGTCTGATATTTGCTACAGTTTTTGTTTTGGGGTGTATTTTAAAGTTTGCTACATTTCTCATTTTAATTTGGTAAGTTTTCCCTTAAAAAACTTACTTAATTGTTGGAAAAATGGTTTTACAAATTAATATTATGGTCATTAATATTATTTGTAAAAATCATTTTGAAATGAATGAGAAATTGTTTCTCAAAAGATAAGTGTGAAATTATATCTCACACGCAAACACCGTCACCGCCGTTCAGTAGGCCGAGTCAGGTTTCGGATTAGAGTCTTAAACCGTCCGCCCGAGTATATGGCTTAAAGATAATTCTATTAGTCGCTCTTAATTTTGGATAATGTTTGGCAATAGACACATCCATTGGTTTTAGAAGGAAGGTCACGGCCTTTCTTTCTAAAGGTGTCTTTTGGGTGTAGAGTATCCTGGCCAGAGCTCTATATATACCCATGACTGCCGGCATTTTCAACATATCCGAAAATCATCACACAATCCTCCATATTCTCTCATCGTTGCATCTTTGAGTTCGCCGGAATCCCGTTGGGAGCAAAGAACCGTTCTATCCTGGGAGACACTTGCTACGTGTGTCGGGCAAAAACGTCTTAAGGAAACAACGCTTAAGTTGGGCTCGGTTACAAGTAATTTTAGATGTTTCCTTAACTATTTAATTATTATTTTATGTGCATGCAGAATATACTACATACATTTAACAATCTTAAGGCATTTTCTTTAATTACTAGAATCATTCTGTAATCCGTATGCGTTAATATTTCTACTTTCGGTAATCAGTAGTACAATTTTTTTTGTGTGTGTGCATATATGTTTCGCATGAGTTTGCATGACATGGATACAAATTAATTGTGCTTGGCTTTTTCTCCTTTCCGTGCATACACTGGTTATTTCTTTTAAACTACGAAGTATTTGTTTATTATCATTCTT